CCTCAAGTGATCCACTGCCTCGGCCTCCCAAATATTGGGGTTACAGGCATGAGCCACTGCACCCAGCCTAACCAGACTGTAGTCTAATACTGTGGTGTGCCTGTCTCCTCCACTAAACCACCAGACAGGCCATCAAGGAGAGGGACTGTGGCTTCCTCACCTCCATCTGCCTATCCTGCCCCAAGGGAGGAACTCAATAAATGTGTGTTGAACCAATGAGAATCAGGAGAGAGAAAGAAAAGGGAAGAGGCTCTTGTTGCTCTGCTCTTCAGTCCCAGGAATAAAGGGGTCAGCCAGAAGGAGGGGAAGTGTTCACAGTCCCATTCCAGGAATAAAAGCACAGGGCCCTGGTTGTCTTCTCAGCCTACCTGCTACCATCACAACAAGGAGCCCCAGAACTGTGCCCCCTGCACCTCTGTGAGCTTTCCTAGCCTGAGTGACTTCCGTGTGTGGTTTCTCTGTGGTAATCAATAGCTAAACCTTTAACATGAAATTGCCTGCAAGCCTGTCTTCAAGACAGACAAGAGAGATGGAGCTGGGAGCCACCACATAGCAGGCAAGGCACTAGGCAGTGGCATCTTCAAAGAGAGGAGGAAAGAAAGGTTGAGGCTCTGGGATCTGTGAATAGGAAGAAAAGGAGAGCTCAGAGAGTTGTTCTGGGCATGAGAAGAGGCCTGTAAGTTTAAAAATAAGTCCCTGAAGACTTTGCATGGGGAGCTGTTTTACCAAATGCCAAAGAGTTTAGGCACATGGCCAAACCTGGAAAGAATGTTTTGAGACCTGGCAGTGGCTAAGGGGATTAGCTCTGCCTTGGAAGAAAAGGCAAAGTGGGAAAGGCTCTTCAGAAAAATACTCCAAAAATCAGAGCCTCTATGTTTCACTTTACATGGTAGCTCTGATCAGCTGGTATGGCCTATTGGGACTGCTAGGTTGAAAATAAATCTAAAGCCAGTAAAAAAAAAGAAAGAAAGAAAGAAAAAAGAGTGCTGTGATTGATTAGTCATGTCTGCCATGGGTACAGGTAGGAGTAATAGGAAATTATCTGCAAATCAAAAGGGAAGATAAAAGGGGGGTTCCTAAAAGTACTGTTGAATGACTTAAATATGAGAGCTGTGTATGTTAGTGGAAATATGGGCTTTATCCTCAGACAGAGCTGACTGTGAATCCCAGTGCTGCCACATTTATTAGCTATGTAATTGTGAGTGACTTACAAAATCCTATCTGTAAAATGGGATCGTTCTGCATATTACAAAGCAAATTGCTACATAAGTATTACTTACTATTATTTTAACGCTTATGTAGCAATTCTATGTGCCAAGCATTGTTCTAAGACTTTTACAAATATTAATTCACTGATTATCACAACTTAAGGGTATTATTCCAATACACAGGTGAGAAAACTGAGGCTCAGAGAATTAAGAGAGCTGCCAAGGGTCACACAAGTAATGAGTGTCAGAGCTAAGATTCACATGCAGGCAGCCTGGCTATGAGTTCACATTCTTTTTTTTTTCTTTTTTTTTTTTTTTTTTTTGAGACAGAGTCTTGCTCTGTCACCAGGCGCCAGGCTGGAGTGCAGTGGCACGATCTCGGCTCACTGCAACCTCCGCCTCCCGGGTTCAAGCAATTCTCCTGCCTCAGCCTCCCAAGTAGCTGGGACTACAGGCATGCACCACCATGCCCAGCTAATTTTTGTATTTTTTTATTAGAGACGGGGTTTCACCACATTGGCCAGGATGGTCTCTATCTCTTGACCTTATGATTCGCCCGCCTCGGCCTCCCAAGAGTTCACATTCTTAACCACCTTGATAGTTACTACAGCCAACCACTTCCACTGCTACAGCTGCTAACAATGTCAAGCAACTGACATATCTCTGTGAGTTAACTCGCAAGACTTTTACCTTGAAGTTCTCAAATGCATAGAACATATTTAACAGAGGACAAGAGTAAGGGTTCACTGAAGGAAAGAGAAAGGACAAAATCAGGACCCAGGAGTCTAGCCTCTAACAAAATATCTCTTGCCTTTTAACTTTTTGCTATACATGAAAGGTTTAATCAGGATCCACCAAGATACATAGAACAGGTGTCTTACTCCATTCACTCAGCTGCAACAAAATACCACTAACTGGGTGGCTTTTTTTTTTTGACAGGGTCTTACTATCATCCAGGCATGACTGTAGCTTACGACAGCCTCAAATTCCTAGGCTCAAGCTATCCTCTCACCTCATTCTCCCAAGTAGCTGGGACTACAGGCACACACCACCATCAAGTCCAGCTAATTAAAAAAATTTTGTGTAGAGACAGTCTTGCTATGTTGCCTAGTCTGGTTTTGAGCTCCTGGCCTCAAGAGATCCTCCCACCTTAGCCTCCCAAAGTGCTGTGATTACAGGCATGAGCCATCATGCCTGCCCAAACTGACTGGTTTCTAAACAACAAAACTTTATTTCTTATAGTTCTGGAAGCTGGGAAGCCCAAGATCAAGGTGCTAGCAGGTTCAGTGACTGCTAAGGGCCTGCTTTCTGGTTTCTAGATTGCATGTTCTAGCTGTGTCCTCCATGGTGGGAGGGGTGAACCAGCTCTCTTAGGCCTATTTTTTTTTTTCTTTTTTTGAGACAGAGTCTTACTCTGTCACCAGACTGGAGTGCAATGGCATGATCTCAGTTCACTCCTGCCTCAGCCTCTCAAGTAGTTGGGACTACAGGTACATGCCACCATGCCCAGCTAATTTTTGTATTTTTAGTAGAGATGGGATTTCACCATGTTGGCCAGGATGGTCTCAATCTCTTGACCCTGTTATCCGCCCACCTCAGCCTCCCACAGTGCTGGGATTACAGACTTGAGCCACTGTGACCAGCCATTAGGCCTATTTTATAAGGACACTAATCCCATTGATGATGCTCTCATGACCTCACCACCTCCCAAAAGGCTCCACTTCCTAATATCATCACCTTGGGGTTAGACTTTCAACATACTAATTTTGAAGGGGACACAAACATTCAGACCATAGCACTAGGGGAGCAGGACAAGAGAGTCTTCAGTTTATAAAGAATTTGTCTTAGGCCGGGCGCGGTGGCTCGAGCCTGTAATCCCAGCACTTTGGGAGGCCGAGGCGGGTGGATCACGAGGTCAAGAGATCGAGACCATCCTGGTCAACATGGTGAAACCCCGTCTCTACTAAAAATACAAAAAATTAGCTGGGCATGGTGGCGCGTGCCTGTAGTCCCAGCTACTCAGGAGGCTGAGGCAGGAGAATTGCTTGAACCCAGGAGGCGGAGGTTGCGGTGAGCCGAGATCGCGCCATTGCACTCCAGCCTGGGTAAACAAGAGCGAAACTCCGTCTCAAAAAAAAATAAATAAATAAAAATAAATTAAAAAAAATAAATAAAGAATTTGTCTTGCTTTCTCCTGTGCTGGCATGAGAAATCCTTTCACTAAAGGCCTTTAGATCAGGGGTCAGCAAACAATGACCTTGGGTCAAATCCTGCCTGACACTAGTTTTTGTAAATGAAGTTTTGTTAGAACATAGCCATGCTTATTTTTTGTTTTCTCTATGGCTGTTTTAATACTATAACAGCAGAGTCAAACAGTTGACACAGAAACCATATGGCTTATCATCAGGCCTGTTGCAGAAAAAGTTTGCTGACCTCTGATCTCCACTTTAGGCCAGATTTTCTATATACCAGTACAACACACATGATAATCTTATGTCCTTAACTTGAGAAGGAAAAACAAGATATCCCCTTGGATAAGCTCCAGGGAAGGTATGAAATAGGATGTCCATAAGAAGAACCAAAATTAAAACAGCAGTGTGGCCTGAATAGCACATCTCAGCGTGTGCTGCTAGAAATGTTAATTTATGTTATGCGGTAAAGTGGTTGAGGGATCAACTGTTTGGAAATCGTTGTGTTAAACAACCTTAAGAGGATTTCTCCACTACAGGACTTCTTGGGATCTTTAAAATGCTATTATGCCTTGAGATCTCTAAGAGGGTAATACAGTTAACAGAGTTTCCCATGGGACTATGTTTTTCAGAACATTTTTTGGAAAATGCTGAAATTAAAAAGGATTTAGAATCACGTTTCTTGGGAACTGGAAATGAAAAGTATGAGGGCTGTGGCTTAATGAACCTCACTTTCTCTCAGCAAGGAAAGAGGAAGCACAAAGAAGAAATACTGAAAGACAGAATGAGAAAAAGAGAAAGAGAGAGAGGTATTTGAAGGAACAAAGCAAAGCCCTGGAAAGATGGCATTTGAGGATATGAGGAACACTTGGATGACTGAACTGTCAGAGAGAACCATGTGTCAAAAGCAGAGGTGTTGCCAAACACAGGGTACATGGTCACTTTTGTCATCACCACTGCCATCACCAGGACCATCAGAGAAGCTAACCTTTCCTGGGGCCTCACTACTTTGCAGATCCTGTATTATGTCCTTTATAGATATTATGTCATTTAATTTCCATTTTACAGTTGAGGAACTAGGGTGCATGCAAGTTAAACAAATCACCCGGAGTCAAGCTTAGAAGGTGTGTAAGAGGCAGCACATAGATTCAGTCCCGTAAGCCTGACCCAGAGTCCATGTTCTTACCACTTCATTGCACAGCTCTACTTCTAAGTGCATTAAAGGCAGAACTAGAATTCCATTATGTCATATAAAAAGGATCTTACACAAAAGTGCAACATCAAAAAGACAAAAACCAACCAATATCACTTTGGATATTTGGCTGCACAGGGCCAAACAATGAGAGGACTGATTTTTTTCCAAAGCACATCCAGATGTTCAGATATCACCATGTTTTCTTTCTTTCTTTCTCTCTCTCTCTCTTTTTTTTTTTTTAACTCTCATGTTAACTATCCTTCTTATTTCATAAATTATATATTAGGCTATATCAGGCTTATCCAATGTGTGACACTTGCTCATAAAGTAAATGTAAGATATTTTTTGAATATTTAAAAAGCATTTCAACCTAAACACCACGACTACTATATTTACAATAAGTCTCACTTAGATTTCCACAATGGCCAGTTCTTCCTGAGGGGATGGAGATCCTCAGAACAGCTTCCTAAGACAGATTCTGAAAACATGAATCACAGCTCAGTTAAATTAATTGTGGCTCAGAACATACCTTCACTAACGGCTAGCATTCATCCATGCCCTAATTGCTGATTTGTATCTTTAAAATTTGATACAAATAGTAAATTACAGTATTTGGGGGAGAAGGAGGAGAAACCCAGGTCTGGAAAAGCAGCCCAGTCTGTGAAAAATATTGCACATGGAAATGGCCGAAAAGGGCTCCACTGGAATGCTACAAATACTGACTAGGAAGTTTCTGAAGACGAAGTTCGTGTGGGGCAATCTGACACCTCTGATTTACTTTCTTGGGTCTGGAGCAGAATAAAGAACTGCAGCAGAAATGGAACAAATGCACGCTGCTTGTAAATTTCTCTATTTACCTGGTGAATGGTGAGGATAGGGCTTTGGGCTCCCCGGTCCAGAAGAGCTGCAAGGCAGAGCATTCAAATCGTGGCTGGCCTTGGGCTGCTGCCCTCACGCTGCATCGGCTGCTTCTAAGATCCCATTGGAAGTCCCAAAGGGCTGGAGAGCCCCAAGGCCAATATTACGTTTCCAAAAGAATATTCCTCCCCGACTCGCACCCCCCTTTGCTTGCGTTGACTTTCGAGCGGCTTGGGTTTCTTCCACCTCTGCGCGAAGCCGCTGGGAACTCAGGAGTAGCGCTGGCAGAGAGGGGCGGTCCCAGAAACCACTTCCAGATGTGCTCAGCTGGCCGGCTCGGATGAGCCAGACTTCCTCTGGCTAAGTGCAAAACATTAAAACAAAACAACGCTGTTCTGAAGGAAAAGACACAAAACCAGAGAAGAGCAAATGCTTGCAGAGTGACTTTCTACCACACGTTGAGTCAAAGGCAAACTTTGAAAGAACTCAAATGAAAAATAAACTTCATGCTGATTTGAGAATCTTCATGACCACTAGCTTCTCATGAAATCTAGTCACTGAAATGCTGTTCTCCCCAAATCAAAACCCAGGTAACAACTGTGGTCTCCTTCTACCAAGGCAATAATGACAAAAGTTTCAAGATGGAGTATTTTTGTGCCTGAACAAAAGAGGAATCAGTGAGGAATCAGGCAGGGAGCTGGGAGCTGACTTCAATAGCAATCCACACTGTTCTGTATTTCTGCCCTGGGTTCTCAGACTCAGGAGACAGTACCAGCACTTTGTCTGGGATCACAGAATTTATTTCTGCAAAGGCCCCTATTCCTAATTCCTATAAGGATATACGGATCTCCTTGCTCGCTGTGTCTTTCTAAAGTAGTACTCTTAAACAGAAATAAAATGCAAGCCACACTGTAATTTTACTTTTTTTTTAGATGGAGTCTCACTCTGTTACCCAGACTGGAGTGCAATGGTGCAATCTCGGCTCACTGCAACCTCCGCCTCCCCAGTTCAAGCAATTCTCCTTGCTTTAGCCTCCTAAGCAGCTGGGATTACAGGCACCCGCCACCATGCCAGGCTAATTTTTGTATTTTTTTTTTTTAGTAGAGATGGGGTTTCACCATGTTGGCCAGGCTGGTCTTGAACTCCTGACCTCAGGTGATCCGCCTGCCTCAGCCTTCCAAAGTGCTGGGATTGCAGGCGTAGACGTTTTGTCATTCAGGCTGGAGTGCAGTGGCATGATTACAGCTCATTGCAGCTGTGAGCTCCAAGGCTCAGGCGATCCTCCCGTCTGAACCTCCTGAGTAGCTGGGACTACAGGTGCACACCACTGCATCTGGCTATAATTTTAAATTTTCTAGTAGCCACATTAAGAAAAAAGCACAAAGAGGTAAAATGTATCTTAAGGATATATTTTACTTTGCCTAATATATACTTTCAACGCATATTATAAAACATTATTAAAAAGATGTTTTATATTCTCTTTGTTTTGTTTTTAAATCTAATTTGTTTTAATTGATATATATTCATATAATAATTGTACATATTTGTGGGGTACGTAGTGATGTTTCAATATATATAATATATAGTGATCAGAACACTGCAATTAGCATATCTATCATCTCAAATATTGATGCTTATGTTGGAAACATTCAATATCTTTCTTCTAGCTCTTTGAAACTACATATTATTGTTAACTATGGCCATACTACAGCCATATAGAACACAATTCCTCCTATCTAGCTATACTTTAATAACCTTTAACAAATCTCTCCCTATCACTCCCTTTCTCCTACCCTTCCCAGTGTTTTTTTTAACTAAGTCTTTGAAATTTGGTGTGTATTTTACACTTGCAGCACATCTCAGTTCACACACTAAATTTAAACAGAAACACTTCACATACATTTAGATTTTATAAAATTTACCATTTAAAAAGTAGATTCATTTAAGGTAATGAAGATCCCAATTACAGTGATTTGATCTTTACAAATTATATGAATGTATTAATATTAAATGTTTGAATGCACACCCAAAATTTGTATGTCTATCATGTATCAGTTTAAAAAATTAGAAAAAAACACTGGGAAAAAAGTCAATTTACAAATCCACATTGCTCCAAGTGTACTTAAAATTTTCTAGTAACTGAATAGAGTATCAGTTTTTCAATTAAAATTAGTTACATTTAAATAAAATTAAAAATTCAGTTCCTCAGTTGCACTAGTCACATTTAAGTACTCAAAAGTCAATGTGGCTAGTGGCTACTATATTGAGCAATTCCATTCTAAAGGATTTATTTTTTTTTTATTGCATTTTAGGTTTTGGGGTACATGTGAAGAACATGCAAAATTGTTGCATAGGTACGCACATGGCAGTGTGATTTGCTGCCTTCCTCCCCTTTACCTATATCTGGCATTTCTCCCCTAAAGGATTTAATAGGGGTTTCTCAGACATAAACTTTGAAGATGGGAGGATCCTGAATATCTTCCATGTATATAGAACTTTGAATACAGCCAAGGCATTTTCATATCTTCTATTTCTTTTTAGTCACACACATTTCTGGCAGGTAAGTTGAGCAGATGTTATTTGCCCCAATTTACAGATGAGCAAACTGAGGCTTTGAGCAAATTAAAGCCCAAGTTCCCAAAGCAAGTTAGTGATGAAGCCAGGGTTGAAATTCTTATTCAGCACTTCTTAAGCGTTTCCTTCTTGAGACATGTTTCAAATACTAGGATCTGGGGCTGCAAGAGTAGGGTTAAGTGGCATCCACACTGGTCATCCTTCAGCATCATATTGCTGCTTGTGCAGAATTATTGACTGAATTTGTGATCCCTTATCTACCCTTATTCTAAAGTCCTCACAGAATCCAGCAAGTGTGTCTATTCTCCTGGAGAGGCTTGACATTATGCCATTCCTCTTCTCTCTACTCCTAGCATCTTGTACTTTATTTTATTTATTTATTAATTATTATTATTTTTTAGAGGACTTAAACTCCTGGGCCTTTCTCCTCAGTCTCCTGAGTAGCTGGGACTTTAGTCATGCACCACCATGCTTAGAAAGTTGTGCCTTATTTTAAAGCACAACACTATTCAAACATTTAGCTAAACTTTTTTAGCTGAAACATTGGTCACCTCTGGGAAGTCAGAAGGTTCAGGGGCAGCACAGCATACTGTGCTCTAAGTACTCACTGCACACACATGAGTGAAAATAAGATAACCACTCCTGGCTCTGGGTTTCTCACCACCCTTCCAGAATTATGTGCCATCAGGTGCAGCAGGCCTTCCATTGGCCAAATCCAACTAGAAGTCAGAGGGCAAGGAGTTCAAGTTCTATAATCTATTTAGGTCAGCCTCTCAGGACACTGAACAGGTTAAAGGGTGGAGAGTAGATCTATAGAAGTAAATGGAAAATATCCTTGCATGATGTGAATAGGGTCCCTGGCACTGTGTCATTCTGCAGCCTGGTTTATGCTAAAGATGGCACAGAGAATCACCACAGCAGCCCTGAACTAACTACTTATGGAAAATCTTGCTATCTGAGGAAAATAAACCCTTATGTGGTCAAGTAACTTTGGTTAGATTTAGTTACATGCCTGAGTGCAACCCCAGTAATATGTATGCATTTCACATGCATTTTATATTTGTGGTATCATTTGTCAACAAAACATGTATCTGAGTCATTATTATTCCATGTTTATTTCTTACTCGTTGAAGGTCAGATGTTTATTTCTTCTTGATAACTGGGTCTGACTTGACTGAGTATATTACTTTTAGATAAGACATTAGATATAATATATTAAAGCTGATAAGGTTGCCTGAGAGGAAAGGAAGAAGTCTTCAATAGTAGTAGATGAATTACTACATTGGGTCAGGCTGACAAGTCTGTTTGCCACATTTGTCTCCCCATGGCTGGGCTCCAAGATCACACACATGGGGCAGGGATTACCATGGCAGGAGCAATTCCCTCTCATTTGCCTGGTGTGGTTCAGGTGCAGGTCATCTTCTTGTTGCCCTGAGCTTCAGTGCTCTTGCTCTCTCCTGCTACTCCCTGAGCTGCAGCAATTGCCCCAGCACCTGAGTCTTGCACTTGAGTTCCCTCTCTCTCATATGCTGTAATTGTTTTTCTTCCTTTGCCCAGTTCCCTGTTCTGGCAAGTAGGTTAGGTTCTATCTAGCCTGGAGCCCTGCCTTGCTCTTGCCAGCTTCCATCTCTATGCTTTGGCCATAGCTTCAGCCAAGACCCATGGCTGGAGCCCTGCAATATGTAAACAGACCTCTCAGACACCATCTGTTTCCCTCACCTCAGCAACAGTCCCTGCCCAGGATCTCTACTATTGAGTTCTGCCCACTTGCTAGCACTCCCCAGAACCTCTTCTCAGGCCTCTGGCAATAAGCCTTTGGCCCTTGGCCTGAGTCCTCAATTGAGATTAAAGACATTGCAATTAATACTTTTGGCTGAAAACACAGGACTGTCTGCCACTTCCAGCACCAGATTCTCACTCTAGGGTTGACTTTTTGACCTGCAGCTCAGAAGGAGAAATAGAAACTGTAAAAATACAATGAAATCATGATAATGATAGAAATAAAACAACCTATTACTTATTAAATGCTAACTACAGGACAGGGATTGCATAAGTATAGCACAGTCCTTGCTTGGCATGGCAACAGCACAGCACAGATTTCAATTAACACCATTTAGTCACATAACACAAGTCCCCCAATAACACAGTTTAAATTTCAGTTACCACAGTATATTAACTGTGAGTAATTGCATAAATACAAGCTTTGCTGCAAGGTTTTCAGTCCACAAAATTACTATGCAAATAATAGATGCACACCATGATCAGTGACCAAGCATATCATTTCATTTGTAGTCTGCTGGTGACTGGTCACTGGACATCAGTTATTCAGTTATGCACAGACAGCAAAGTATGCAGTTGTGCTGCCTCCTTATCTCCATGTGACATTTTAAAAAATGGACAATAGAATTTGCCAATAAAGATAAAATGAAGCAAAGAAACAAAAAGTGATAATTGTAGGAGTGAAGTTCAAATTAAAGATCAGTGGAGTTACAGAAGAAATGGGTGGCGATGGGAATGTTGACATTGCCACTGTTCAACTCCAGATGAGTATCCAGAGAGACTTAGTAAAGGTAAACTTACAAATACAAATAAGGAAGGAAGTAGTAAGGAAAAGGATGAAGATGTTCCAGAAGATGAAATGAGCAAAAAATTCACATTAAAGAAACTCTCAAATATATCTCACAACATTGAAAGCACAAAGGAAAACTTAGAAAGGAGGCTGGGCATGGTGGCTCACACCTGTAATCCCAGCACTTTTGGAGGCTGAGGCAGGAGGATTGCTTGAGCTCAGGAGTTCAATACCAGCCTGAGAAACATAGGG